TGTGTCACAGGAACACCTTGCAATTAGATTTCTTTACCTGCCTGTGAAATGTCTCTTTTAACCTGTCATTACTTCCCAGTAGTTTCAGAGGGTGGACCCTACACATATGGAATCGCTCAGCACGCTGGAGCGTTCCATCTGTAGCTCACAGTTTTGATCCACAACAGGTTTAACTACTCTTTCCAAGCGAAGGCCAGGATGTGGGGAGAGCCCGAAAGGGAGACGGAATCTAGTGTTACAGCCAGGAGCACGGAACTTCAGGCTAGAAAACTGGAACTGGGGCATTCGGCATTTCTGAGCAGAAATTTCCAAGGGCTGTAGGCCTGTTCTTACATCAGTAAGAGCTTGTGAAATTTGGAAACGTGGCCATCTTGCTCCACATATTTTTTTCTCCTTAACTTGTTAGTTTTGAACCCTCGTCTTTCCCGAAGGCAGTGGAAATAGAAGGTAGCACTGGAACCTATACCACCAACTTCCTTGTGAAAACGAAGTACAAGCACACAAACAGCACACTGACCCGCAGTGACAGTGGGATGGAAAGGACCACAGATGCATGTAGTTACAGAGGAGACCCGGACACCACGTGCTTGCAGTTCTGCTTACAGTCAGCAGACAGCACTGTCCGCCTGTAAACGTTTCGGGGGAAACAAGAGTTGAAAGTTCTCCAGGAAGAAGAGAGACATGATTGAAGAATCATACTCTGTAGCTGTTATTTGGACCAAAGATGATGTCACATGAGTTTTGATGAGTGAACAGTCACTTCACTATTACTGGTTCACCTTAAATAGAATAACTAATTTCAATCTAGTCCTAATGAGAAATGAGACCAAACAGAGATTTTTTTTTTTTTTGCCTTTTGTGCAAATTCAATGATCAGTGTCTCCTCGTTAAATGAAATTTGGAAAATTCAGTAGTCTTCACAGATATTTTTTACTGTTTGCTAGATTAGTAACCTTGGGAAGGTTACATCAGTTCTCTGAGACTCGGGACCCTCATGATTAAGTGGGGATAATAATGTTGCCTACTCACCGTCATGGGCTGGAGGATCAACAGGAGGCTGACGCAGAGCAAGCTGTTACTGTTGTTACTACTACTACTGTACTGAGATAGGCCGAGCCTCTCCTAAACAGATGGGAATGTTTTTCAGTTAGTTTTTTTTTTAAGCCTCTCCTGGATAAGTTTAAAGTTTCTCTTCAGAGCTCTGCTCCGCACCTGCTCCAGGAGATACCAGCCAATGGGGGGAGCCTGGAAAGCAAAGAGCTCCCTCTGCGCCTGCGTGAAGAGCCCCGCCTTACATAAGCCTGACCCCAGCAGCAGTTTGGGGGAGCCATGCTGTTGTTAGTCTATGCTCCCCTGGTGCATCAGGCTCACTCCCTTTCTTCTTTCTCTCTACCTTTTGGATTTGTTTTGCCTCCTCTCCTGATTTCTACCTAGAGAGGGGGCAAGACTCCCTTTGGTGGTCAAACTACCATTGTACTTTTATCTAAAGACACACACACACACACACAAACACACACACTAGAAGTAGGCAGAAATGAATATAAATAAATAATCAAAAGAGAAAAATAAATAATCAAAATGTATGGATTTCATGTGAATGTGTTTTTAAGAATATTGTTTTTGCCCAGCCAGTGTGGCTCCAGTGGTTGAGTGTTGACCCAGGAACCAAGAGGTCTAGGTTCGATTCCTGGTCAGGTCACATACCCAGGGTTTTGGACTCAGGCCCTGGTGGAGGCATGTGCAGGAGGCAGCAAATCAATGAACTTTCTCTCTATCCCTCTCCCTTCTCTCTCTAAAAATCAATAAAAACATATTTTTAAAAAATAATTTTTTTCTACTTTCTTATTTAGAAAATTCTTAAATACACAAAAGTGAACCTCCATTAAACCACCATCTAGCTTAAACATTTATCAACATTTTTACTAATTTTGTTATTTTTATTCCCAACATTATTTTTCTGGAATATTTTAAAACAAGGAAATTATATCATTCTGCCTATAAATATTTAGTATGCATTTTTAACTGTAGGATTGTCTTAAAACATAATTACCATGCAAAATTAAAAATGATTCTTAAGATCATCTAATACCATATTTAATTTTTCATATTTGTCTCAGAAATGCCATTTTACAGGGCATGGTTACCAGGGGCTGGGGCATGGGGGAAATGGGGAAATGTTGGTCAAAGATATGTATATATAAATTCAGATTTGCAGGATGAATAAATTCTGGAGATATTCAGCAGGGTGACTATAGTGAGCAATACTGTATTGCATACTTGAAATTTGCTAAAATAGCTGCTCCTAATTGTTCTCGCAAACAAAAAATAACTATGTGCAGGGACAGATATGTTAATTAGCTTGATTGTGGTAAACATTTCACAATGAACACATATATCAAAACATAATCTTGTATACCTTAAATATATACAATTTTATTTGTCCATGATGCCTCATTAAAGCTGGTTGGGGAGAGAGATGTTTTACAGTTGATTTGTTCTAATCAGGATTCAAACAAGGTTTACATATTGCTCTGTTGAAGCTCTTAAGATTTCTGAATTATCTTCTTTTTTTATGTCATTGATTTGTTAGATAAAGCAGGTTATTCATCTTTGCTGACATCGCTGTTTGCTTCCTTGTAGTGTTATTTAACTTCTCTGTCCTCTGTATTTCTTGTAATTTGGTATGAGATCTAGACACTTGATTAGGTTCAGACTAAATTTTTTTTCTTTAGTCAAAACTACATCAGCCCTGGCGGGTGGCTCAGTTTGGAGCACCACCCTGTGCACCAAAAGGTGGTAGGTTCGATTCCCACCAGGGCACATATCTAGGCTATGGGTTTCATCCCCAGTCAGGGCACTTACAGGAGGCAACCAGTCGATGTTTGTCTCTCACATCAATGCCCCCCCTCCTCTCTCCCCACCTCTAAAATCAATAAAAACATATCCTGCCCAGCTGGTGTGACTCCGTGGTTGAGCACCAACCTATCAACCAGGAGGTCACAGTTTGATTCCAGGTCAGGGCACATGCCTGGGTTGCAGGTTCTATCCCCAGTGTGGGGTGTGCAAGAGACAGCCAATCAATGATTCTCTCTCATCATTGATGTTTCTACATCTCTTTCCTCCTCTTCTTCCTCTCTGAAATCAATAAAAATATACTTTTAAAAAAAATAAGTCACTTAATTGACTTTAGACAAAGCATGAATTATTTTATTTTTGAAAAATTTGAAGGATCTTTCACAATTTCTCAGTAGCCCATTTTAATATCAAAACAGAGCATTTTAAACATTTTTTAAAAAAAGCAGGCTATGCTATTTCAGCAACTTGTGACTTAGATGACTCACCCCCGGGCTAATTCATATGCTAACTATTTAAAAATTAGAAAAGTTATGATCATTAGAGGGTGATCATGAAAAACTGTCTCAAACCTTGTCTGGGATATAACTTTTGTATGATAACATTGACAATCTCCCTTTTAGGAAGAAATCACCATTTCTGACAAACTATAATCTAATTGTGATAAATTCTAAAGGAATTATGAAATATTCTGAGAAATTAGCTTTTCTCACTCTGTGTTGATTGTCAATCAAAAGTTAAATAGTCTTTAACCAAATACTATTTTATCTTTTTGTATTAATATAAGTCAGTGGTTCTCAACCTTCCTAATGCCGCAACCCTTTAATACAGTTCCTCATGTTGTGGTGACCCCCAATTTCATTGTTACAAGTTGAACATAATTAAAGGATAGTGATTAATCACAAAAACAATATGTAATTATGTATGTGTTTTCCAATGGTCTTAGGCAACCCCTGTGAAAGGGTCGTTCGACCCCCAAAGGGGTCGCGACCCACAGGTTGAGAACCGCTGATCTAAGTAGTCACCTAAAAAAAACAAAAACAAAAAACAAAAAACTACATGTCTCTAATTTGAGTGACTCTTTGAATTGGCCTGTTCTAGGTATATTCTCTTGTGGCAATATTAAAATATTAAAGTAAAACTTTAATACATGCTCATAATTAAATCATCTGAAAAGTTTTTTAAACCATTGTGAGGCTCATTATGTCAAATATACATAAATAAGCCTCATTTTTTCCTTTAATGATGATGATTGTGTGTGTGTGTCCTACATTCTGTCTCACCCAGGTTAGTACATTATTGTGGCAATGACCAACCTTGGGAGTCTAGGAAAGTAAAAAGTTCTGTTCAAAGGCTACAAACTAGCTTAAGCTAGATCCTTGATGTGGCATCCTATTAATATCGTAAACATTAATTACATTGATGTGAAAGGAATGGGGGGAGAGGGAAGGACAGAGGAAAAGAAGGAGATATTTTATGCCAACTCCTCTCTCTCTGTTAGTGGGCAACCGAATCTGTATTGGTATCTGTATCGTAAGAACAACACGGGAACTCACCAGGTAGTTTTTGAATGAGTGAATGAATGAATGAATGAATGACTACCCCTCTGCGAGTACTAGATACACTATTGCTTGAAGGTGAAGAGATGGAGTAAGCATCTTCAGCTTTTTTCCTGTTTTATGATTCTGTGGTTTCTTTGACTTTTAAGAACTGGTTAGGCTGCAAATATATTTTAAAGTCTGAAAAGCAAAATGCTCTCAGAGAACAGGCAGGGGGAAAACACATCTCAACGCACCCACTTGAATCATTCATATCATTATTGTTTACACGGACAAGCACTGTCAATGCATAAAGACCACGTATACCCCCAGAGCTAACTTGGGGCAGGAATCTGACTGTAACGTGCCAAGTTTCCTTGCACCCAATAGCAGCCGACCTGCTTCCAGGGGTGCACACCGGAGAGCCGGCAGCGGCGGTTCCAATGGATGCTTTCTCCTGCCGATGAGGAAAAAACTGCTGAAGTCATGAGGCCGCCCCAGCAGAGCCCTCATGTGAGTCATATGAAAGCTCCAGCGCTGCTGACCTCTGGCAAAAAGGCAGTGACCGAGGACAGGAGAGGCCGAGAAGGAGAGGCTCCAGAACGAGCTTCCTCCTTGAGCCTGGAAGACTATGGGCCAGGAGCTGTGTGCGAAGACTCTCCGGCCCGGCTGCAGCTGCCATCGCTGCTGGGAGGGAGGCGATGCACGCAGCTGTCAGAGGAGAGCGCCCGAGAGGACCAGGACCGAGGCTGCCATCCAGGTACTTGTCTGCCAGCAGCAGCAGCAGCATCTTTCTCTGCTGACAAACCCAGGAGAGCAGAGACCGACTCCCTTCTCCGTGGCAGGCAGGGTCTGATTGTTCTGCGGTAGGTCTCAACCAATAAAAAGGAATTTCTATTAAAGTCACAGGGAATTTATGGCCGTTGTTATCAAATTTGGAGATTTGCTTGTAAACCAAAAGGGAAAAAATAACCCGAGGCTTTGGGCTGCCTGAAACTCAGTGGACTTGAGGTAGAGAGAGGAGTTGTTATTCTCTTGAAACCTCTCCAGGACTGGAGAGCAGGGCTGACCTCCGCGTAAAAAGCAAGCTGCAGTATTGCGATGCTGTGGGCTTAAATGTTCAGTAATCAGCTCGTGGTGGTTAGCAATGCCACACTAGAAAATTATCCCCCTACAGGGATAAGTGAAGGGGGACATGGGGGGAAAACAAGTGTGAGGTAAACAGAGATACATTGGAAACCATCCATCAAAGAAATTTAGGTTAGCCAAGTTTTCAAGGACATATTTTTAGGTGAAGAAAGAATGTAGTGTTTCAACAATGGATATTCTTAAATTTTGTGTGTGTGTGTGTGTGTGTGTGTGTGTGTGTGTGTGTGTGTGTGTTTAAGTGATCTGACCTTCAGGAAAGGTGCCTTATGAGGGTACAGAAGCTTAGGAAATATTTGAAAAGTGAAAATCAGGCACACACACAAAAAATGAAAGCATTGTTTATGCTAGCCACTAGGTCTTGACATTGCATACATTTTATTCCTGCACTTTCCTTTTTTTCTCTAGCTAACAGACCTCAAAGAAGCATCACGTTCCATGACTTCATTTCACCCCAGGGGACGTCAGGCTGCCCATGCCCGGAAGTGCAAGAGTAAAAGGCCACGCAGTAACAGTGAGTCTTTTCAGGAAGAGGATCTGAGGCAGGGCTTTCAGTGGGTGAGTGAGCAGCTGATGCTGATCAAGAGGGTTTCATGTGTGCTTGTCTAGCGAGGCTGGCCCCACCTCCAGGGCAATTACTGAGCTGACCTTCCAAGTACATTCCAGCAAATTCCTCCGGGGGTGGGGGGGAGGGGGTGGGGGAGTCAACACTAAAAAAAAGTGCTCTTTCTTTCTTTCCCACCTCTCACCCCTACCTGTTCCCTTTAAGCCCACGAAGAGCCTCCTCCCTTTTGGGGCAGCCTCATCCTACTTGAACTTGGAGAAGCTGGGTGAAGGTTCCTATGCTACGGTTTACAAGGGGATTAGCAGGTGAGTGATCCATAGCTGGAGAGACTTTAGAGATGAGGATCCCTCCCCTTGGTTTGACATTGTAAAGCCAGGTGACACATTGCAGAAGTTCAGGACCCGTGCAAGACACCATGGCCAACAGGGAAAGACATGATGACTTAAACAACCTTGCAAGAAAAGCAAATTTCTCCTGCCCCAATTAAAACCAGCCCACTATAATGTTCGTCAGCGTTCCTTCTCTTGATTTCAATGCAAAGTAGACTTGCTCTCCCCCTAAAATACAGTGGAAGTTTGCAATGGCAACCTTGAGTTTGCTCCTTCATTCTTCCACTTTGCCTTCAGAGGAGAAACTGAAGTTCGTTTCTACAAAGCATGGTATATGCAAAAAGTGATTAATCCTGCGTTTTCTACACTCGTAAAATAAACAAAATGGCTGAAGAATAAAAATACTGCTAATCCAGAAGCCAAGTGCCCATTTGGCTAAAAATAAACTTTGTCAAACATGTATGAAAGATCTGTGAACTCCACTGCTCTTTAGTAAAAAAAAAAAAAAAAAGATGGAGGTCTGATTTCTTTATGTCACTTCGATGTTGAAAAATAAAATGGCTTAACTGAGGTATGTGCCCTTGACCGGAATCGAAACAGAACCCTTCAGTCTGAAGGCTGACGCTCTATCTACTGAGCCAAACTGGCAAGGGAGATGTCCAATATTTTAAGAGACAAAAAGCAAGTTACAGAACAATATGTGCTCTATGATCTCATTTAGAAAAAAATCACTCAAATGTACTTATTATACATGTATAAATTTGTATGTGCATAGTGAAGTCTTGAAAAAATACACAAGATATTCTTAAAAGTAGATACTTCTAGTGGTTGACACTGGGATGGGGAAAGAAAGATCACTAAAACTTTTCACTTTGTTCCTCAGCACAAAGGCATTCATTATATTTGTAATTTAAGAGCAAATTTTAAAATATCATAGAAATAGATGCCAAAAAGGCATGTGATAAAAGTTCAACATCAACTACTAGTTTTTAAAACTCTGAGCAAAATAGGAATGGGATGATACTTCCTCACTATGTTATAGAATATTTCACATCAACAGCCCACACACTTTTTGTTGTTGTTGTTGTTAATTACTAGAGAGACAGCACCATTAAGTTAGAGATAGGCAAGAGTGCCCATTATCTTTTACTAGAGTCCTGGTACACGAAATTTGTGCACCGGGGGGGGGGGGGGGAGTGTCCCTCAGCCCAGCCTGCGCCCTCTCCAATATGGGAGCCCTCAGACATCCCTCTCACAATCCAGGACTGCTGGCTCCCAACCACTTGCCTGCCTGATTGCCCCTAACTGCTTCTGCCTGCTGGCCTGATCACCCCTAACCACTCCCCTGCCAGCCTGATTGATGCCTAACTCCTCCCCTGCTGGCCCAGTCACCCTCAATTGCCCTCTCCTGCTAGCCTGGTCACCCCCAACTGCCCTCCCCTGCTGGCCTGGTCACCCCTAACTGCCCTCCCCTGCTGGCCTGATCATCCATAACTACCCCCCCCCCCGCCATCTTGTGCGAGGGTGTGATGATCAATTTGCATATTACCTCTTTATTATATAGTTAAAGATTACTGTTAATGTTCTAGCCAATGCAATGAGGAAAAGAATGAATATCACTTTTTTGGGGGTTATAGACTTGTCTACCTAAAAACCCACAAAACTATCAAAATCAGTATGATAAACAGTAAGATCAGTTACAAAATAAAAATATCCTTATCAAAAGTTGTCTTTATGTATTAGCAATAACCATTTAAGAGAAAGTATAGTGGGAGAAATTACTCTCACAGTAGCAGTAACAAAAAGCATTCGCTTCAACAAATAGGCAGGATTTATATAAAGATTTATTAAGGAACATTAAACACTTGAAGAGCCATAAGGGCATTCATTTTTTTTTCATACGGGCACTCATTCAGTCTACTAATATTTTTTAAGCATCCACTGTGTGCCAGGCACTACTGTAGCCAATAAGTATTCCTCCAAGAAGGAGACAAAACCCCCTGCTCATATGGATTGTACTTTCCAGTGGGGGGGGTGGCGGTGAGATAGACAATTATTAAACTTAGTAAAATACTGAGTTTGTCAGAGAGTGAAAAGTGCTTTGAAAAAGGATAAAACAGGGAAGAGGGGTTAGGGGTGGATTACTATTTTAAAGAATGATGACAGGGGGCCGCACTGAGAAGGGAACACTTGAACAGACTCTGACACAGGGAGCTGTGAGCTGTGCACATGTGAGGTGGAAGAGTTTCAGGCAGAGGGAACGGCAGGTGAGAAATCCCTGAGGCCGGAGCAGGCCTGGTGCTGGGAGGGGAGAGTGGAAGCAGATGAAGGCAGGGAGAAGACGCAACTGCAGTAGGACAGGTGTATAGGGTCTTATAGATCATTCCAGGGGCTGTTGTAAGGATATTTGGATTAGAACATCTAATAGTGCAAAGATGTTAATAATTCTCTAATTTAGTCTTACTGCATTGTAAATGTGTTCAAAAGCTACAATAATTAAAATAGTGTAGCACAAGTATAAGAAAAGACAGATCAAAGAAGTACGAGTTTTTAAAGTTCAGAATAGTCACAAATCCAAGTATTAGTAAGATCTCATATATAATCATGGTGGCACTTCAAATCAGCAAGGAAAAAAAGACAGTCCAATACATGGAGCTGGGACAATAGTTAGCAACTTGGAAATATAAATTCCCAGTGGGTTAAAGAATTAAATAAAAAATAATAAAAAAATCCAGGAACTAGAAGAATAGATAAGAGAATTGTGTGTGTACATAACACTTAAGTCAGAACCCATAAGGGCAGATTGGAAGTGTCTATGGGGCCCCATCTGTCCAAGTATGTTCCACAAAGCCCCAATTTTGAGACACCTTAACAGAGGTTTTATTGAAAGATTTACTGTGGTAAAATTGACACTGGGAACCCTGGAACAAACTAAAATGTGACCTTCATTGTAGGTGCTCTCAACATCTTTAAAATGTGCATGTATACCAGTACTATCTAAGAAAGGCTGAGAAAATTTTAAAGTATAAAGGATTTTCTAAACATATTTGACCAAAAAACTTTTTTGGAGGGGTGGTGAGAATTTCAAAGAACTATGCTCTGAGTAAAACATTTTGTAGTGCCCCATGCCAGAGCAAACTGTGACCTTGAACCATAGCCTGGCCTCTGCCCATAGGCCCAGGCACCGAAGCAGGTTACACGGTTTGAGGGGGGTGGGAGGGGGCGAGGAGTATTTTAGAAAATGTTGAACATCATAAAGTTTTTAAATTTCAACATTTCAAAGACATGATAAGGCAAACAAAAGAAATTATTGAAGAGTATATGCAAAATAGTTTAGTAAAATGGTGGGCAAATAAAGCAAATCATAAAAGAACAGAAAAGACCAATACATTTATGAAAATTCAGTTCCACAATTAAAGACATAGAAATTAAAATGTGGTAATCCTTTTTATCTATAAATAGGCCAGAAAGATGAAGATAAAAGCATGCTCTAAAAAACAAACCCCGCAAATGTGTAGCTATCCCACCCTCAAGGAGGGGGAGCACAACTCCTCACTCCTTAAGTGTGAGCTACTCATAGGGACATTCTTCCCTAAGTATAGTGTTGGGGGTGGGGGTGGGGGGTAACTACAGGGAAGAAATCTGACAAACATTACCTCAGCCAGGTGATTAAGGCCAACATCAAGTCATAATTACGATGATATGTGCCCTTACTATGGTGTGATGAAAATGGTACTCTCCCTCCTCCACACCCCTAACCCCAGTGTTATAATCATAAGAAAACCTCCAACAGAGAGGTATCCTACAAAATTCTTGACTAAGGTGCCAAGGTGCTCAAAAACAAGGAAAGTCTGGAAAATTGTCACAGCCAAGAGGAGCCTAAAGAGACATGACAACTACATGTAATCTGGTATTCTGGATGGGATCCTGTAACAGAAAAAGGACATTAGGCAAGAACTAAAGAAATCCTGGTAACCATATTGCAATATATAAATGTATCAGATCAACACATTGTACACCTTTAACTTGCACAACATATGCCAATTATATCTCAATTTAGAAGAAGACTAAGATAAAAACTTGATTTCATAAATTTACACATCTACTGATATCCACTTTAGAAGAAATAAAAAAATAGTTTCTGTAAGAAAACATTTTGAAATAAAATGAAAAAGTCATAAATGCTATAAAAAGGAAAGGTAATCTATACCAGCAAATGAATGTTGAAGACTTAAAGATCGTCTGTACTCTATCACTTTTGTGCACGTGTGCATTTTGTCTTCCATGTGCACACAGTTTACGGTCGACCCTCAAACAACACGGGTCCACTTATACACAGATTTTTTTTCAACAAATACCGTAAATGTATTTTCTCCTTCTTAGGATTTTCTTAGTAACATTTGCTTTTCTCTAGCTTACTTTATTGTAAGAATGCAATATACAATACATAAAACATACAAAATATGTATTAATTGATTGTTTATGTACAAGCAAGGAGATTGTTAGGAGGTTAGTACAATGATTCAGATGAAAAATAAGGATAGCTGAGATAAGTGCACAAAGGAAAATAAAAGGAACAATATAGTACATCAAAATATTACGAGGAAGGATCTGATGGGGGGTGGGGGCATTCTCTGATTTCTGTATCTCCAAATTATTTTTATAATAAACATGGATCACTTTGGTAAAGAGAAAAAAATGTTTTGGGATACATATACATATTATATGACTTTTAACACTTTTTATTTTGAAAAATTGTAGATTCGTATGCTAGAATATATTTGGAAGGAAAACTCATTTATGTTAAATTGTAATGAGCCATCTTAATGTGCGCCCTTTCCCCCCATTCTTCTAGAATAAACAGACAACTAGTGGCTTTAAAAGTCATCAGCATGAATGAAGAGGAAGGAGTCCCATTTACAGCCATCCGAGAAGGTAAGAAGAGTGAAATGGACCCAACTGATATGTTTTAACTCAGGGGTCCTCAAACTACAGCCCACGGGCCACATGCGGCCCGCCGAAAACATTTATCCGGCCCGCCGGGTGTTTTTGCCGCTGCTGTGTGCATAGGAATTTGTTCATAGTTTTTTTTTTAAACTATAGTCCGACCCTCCAACGGTCTGAGGGACAGTGAACTGGCCCCCTGTTTAAAAAGTTTGAGGACCCCTGTTTTAACTCATTGATTGGGGGGCGGGGAGAGGGAATGCATTGAGTCTATCCATTCAGTATCTAGCTTTTGATATTTCTAGAAGTAATATTATAATTGTAATTTTATTCTTCCTACCAGTTTTTCAAGTATAGTTACACTATCATTTTGCTACTCATTTTTGAGGAAATCAAGATTCAAAAGTATTGTATTAGTTGACCAAGACTATACACTCAATGAGTATTTATTTAGTATCTTCTTGTGTGTTTGGTCCCATACTAAGTGCTAAGGCTATAGCTAATAACCTCAGAAAAATCCATATAAAAGATAAAATTAATAATATAATTACATAAATTCTTAGTAAACAATTTACTTGAAAATAATAAGTGGTTTAGATAGCATTTGAAAACCTCTTTGGGAAGGCATGTATGTCTATTGTTGTGCCTGTATTGTCTCTGTACCCTGGGGAGTATAGCAAGGGGGTGAGGATGGACTTGGGTTTGAATCTTAGATCTACCAATTACTAGTGTGACTGTAGGTAGATTACTTTACCTATTTAAGACTTGGCTTATTGCAGAAAGAGGATAATAATATTACCTATTTCTTTTCCTTGTTATGAGGATTAAATGAGAATATGCACTTAGAGCACTAATCACGGTCCATTTTCAGAATTCAACAAATGCTGGCCATTATCATTCCATTCTTGTTTTATTTCCCTCAGTGATGACTTGTTCACCACCAAAAAACCACTATCGTGAATATAAATCTTTAAAATTCCATTTATTAACCTTTTACAAGAGCCATTTGAAATAAAATGAGAATGGGATTGCTGTCCATTTCATCAAAAACCCAGAGAAATGGCTCTTCCCTGGCCTCACTTTCCCCCTGTTAAACTACTTCATTCTCCCTCCCTTCTGTATGTGCACATCCTGCATGCACCACTCTGGGGGGCGGGGGGCGGGATTGAGATGGATGAGAAGAAAAAGCCCAATCTTTGCTCTATATCATTTTCAGATGTAACAGAGCAGATGGTTCCAGTTACAACCAGTGTTATAATGGAGGTTTTTTTTAAAAAAAATACAACATAAACTGAGATGAGAACCAGTTAGCATCCGTGTGGCTAATGGAGTGAGTAGATTTTGAAAGGAGCTTGGAAGGATGGGCTATGCAAACAGGCACGGAAAAAAGCAATTCAGAAAATGAGTTTATAACTGAATTTGATGCCACTTTCAAAAGTCTTTCAGAGCCCCTGGGACATGTGTTCTTTTGAATTTAACTGGAAGGGCCAAATGGCTGTCAGGTTATCTAGGGATTCAGCCTGGTAGGATCAGGTGCATTCTGGACGAAAGCATGGTTTTAATATAATGGAAAGTGCATTTACGAATGCACTTATCGGTGGTCCCCATTAAAGAACGGTCAGATTTAGAAAGAGATGTATGTAGGTTAAGGAGCATTTCTGCATGTAACCAAGTCCCCAGGTCACCAGCACAGGGAGGGACTCCAGGCCCAGGTTCACCCCATCATCCATGCACTTGTCTGTTGCTTCAGACTTGCCTGACTCCAAGATTTTGCCCACAGCCAAGTTTTTCGGGGTGATATTTGACCAATCCTTTTTTGCCAGTGTTGCCACGGGATGCTTCTCAGCCTGGTTCAGGAAAGCTGGGCCCGTGTTGCGCTGTATGCGAAGCGTTTCTTTTACTGCACATTTACCAGGAGTTGGCTCTCCATCACAGGTGTTTGCAATTACACTTAGGATTCAACTGTGGATTTTGTAGGCTGGCTTTATGGACTTACCTTACTGAATGCGTTGCTTCACAATATGAAAAACCACACAGGGACTGGGGACACATTGCAGGTCGCCAGGCATCTAATTTCCAACAATGAGTGTTTCCTTTCCCACCAGTGCAGAAGCTGTGGGCCCTTGTTAGAGCCGCCTTCTCCCCTCAAGGAGATAGAAGGCCTCGCTGGAAAACGTTGGCACTGTCCCACTTCTCCTGTAAGAACTTTAAGGACGTGAGGCCAGGGAGATGGGAGGCTAAATGGGAAGGGCTGGAAGGCAAAGTAGGAACAGCTGGAATTCATTAGTTCAAATCCAGGGTCACTAGCTAAAAAGGCAACTGAAAGCCACGTGCAGGAAACCTGAACGAGTAATGCAGACTTCTTTACAAAGCCTTGAAGGAAGAATTACTTTTCCTGACCAGTTTGGCTGCACTGGTGCTCTAGCAGCCAAAGATTTATTGAGTATGATTTTACTGTATGTATGGTCTCTATATAAATAGGATACCTGTAGCAGTTTAATAATCTGGTCATTTGGAATACTTATTTGCTCTTAACATGTAATACGAAATTAGCAAAAGTATGAACAGCACTAAGGGAAACATGTTTTAACACCCATGCCAGATAATTTTCCCATATTACCTCTTTCAATTCTCTTAACAACCTTTGAAGAGAGATATTCTTTTTCTTCTAATACATAGCTGTAATTCAAACCAAACCTCTCTCATTCAAACATTTGTACACCATCTATGCATTCATGGCTACAAATATTTATTGAGCACCTACTATGGCCAGGTATTTTGCTGGCCACCGGACGCACAGTAGAGCACACGATAGGCACTTTCTCTACCCTCATTCCTTTGCTAATTAAAAGGATTAGCTACCTTCCAGCAACTTAGAAAATCATTCATAAGTGGCTCTAGAGTTATATTTTAAATGTTTATGTTTACAACTAGGAGTAGGCTGATATTATACGTTTTTATGTAAGAATATGTTCCCTAGTTTTATGAAACTATGTATCAATATTTTGATAATGTGTAGTATTTTAAATATCTTCCTAAAAAATTAGAACCTTTTGGTTTAAACCCAGGACTTTCAGCCTGTTAGCAGCATTTTTTTAGGAGCAGTCATAAAACTAACCTTTTTTGAGGACTAAGCATATGACATATTTCCCCCTCCCCCAAGACACACACACACACACACACACACACACATTGTCTTTTTTAAAAACGCTTACACCAACTCCAGTAGGTAAAGTGTGTTGTTTTTGTTGTAGAGATGAAGGAATCTGAACTTTAGAGAGGTTAGGTAAGTTGACTGAGATCTCAGAACTAGGAATCAGAGTTGTTAGGTAGTAGATAAAATTTATTGTATTGTGATAAATGTAGAACTTCTTAACTCAAGCATTTCTTCTTTAGCAACAGTAAAAGTAAAAATCTGTTTTTTATGATACATTTTGTATAAATGTTAAGCAAAATGCAGAAGAAACATTTAAAAAATGATATATATCATACTTGTCAATTTTGATTCTATCATGAACTCTACAGCACCAGTAACTGCAGTGCTTAAATTAGAAACAGTTTTAGCTAAGAATCTTTTAAGATCATTCTCTAGTAAAAAACATTACAAAATAATTATTCCCAGTTCATATATGATAAAACTGAGCCAAAACTAGACTAAGGTTCCTCTAAGGTCATATGGTGAGGTACAGAATACCAATTAGAACTGCTGATTCACTGATTTCCACAAATAGATTGAGCAGGTCAGGTTGACAAGAAGTTCTTCATTAAATGCAATCAAATCATATCGCCGACATAGCATACTTACATTTTTATAAAACAAAATCTTGCCAGGATGATGCTACGTGATCAAATTACAATTCCAAAGAAATCAGATAATAACTACTTATTTAACATTTGTTTTAATATTTACCTTGATGATTTCTTTTCTTGGAATGCATAATTTCACTCACTGACTTGATCTGTGACACCTAGGCCAGAGGAAATGCAACATCAGGAAATACAAATTCTTTATAATTCAACGCCTAGAGGGGGTTGGGAAGGAATTGGCTCCATTATTGACTTCTACATAAACTCATTTCAACTGCCTGGCCTTCATTAATTCATGAGGCCTTATGAGCACCTCGTGCAGGCCCATGCTGCGGGCTGGAGATGCAAAGACAGGGACAGGAACAGGACATGCCTTTGAGGAGCTCACAGCCTAGAAAGGGTGTTGACTACCATATATATATACCTGTGCCCTAGGTCTTTGAGTCAGCCTTGTTCTTCCAGGTAATCACCATCTTTAACCTTTCCTTTAGATGATAAACTAAAGCAGAATAGCCCTAACTGGTTTGGCTAAGTGGATAGAGTGTCGGCCTGCAGACTGAAGTGTCTTGGGTTCAATTCTGGTCAAGGGCACATGCCTGAATTGTGGGCTCAGTCCCCAGTAGAAGGGGTGCAGGAGCCGATCAATGATTCTCTCTCATCATTGATGTTTCTCTCCCTCCCTCGCCTTTCCTCTCTGAGGTCAATAAAAGTGTTTTTTAAAAAATAATAAACTAAAGCAGAACAGAGTAGAGTGACCTCAAAATTTCATGACCCATTGCACCTGCAAAGCATCCATTTTCAAAAAACTTGACTGAACCACAAACCCCAATGAAATGAACAAAACCAAGAAATTAAATATTCTCATATAGTTGCAAGATAAAAATAACTTGTTTCCTAAATTATTAAATATCTTACGTATATGAGAATTGAATTAAATTCCATGTAATGTTAAACCAGTCAGTCATCCTAAACACCTTTATGGACATTGAAAATAAAGAAAGAAATACTTTGCATTTTTTAAAACATGCTTAATAACTTTCCGTTGTGGGTCATTTTTCTTGATCTTTGGGGTTATGCTGTCTTTTTTTTCAGGTTTTCTCTTTGGCTTTTCTGGGTGTTTTCATGATCATACCAAGTTAATATATGCAGAATTCTTACAACAATTCCTGGCATGTGGTAAATGCTCAATGAGTGTTAGCTATCATATCACCATCATCATCATCACCATCATCATCATCATCATCATCATCATCATCATCATCATAAAAGTATTTTGGAAGCCCTCAAAGAAATTCCATTGTGATCCCATTTGTCTGGAGCTTTAAAGACTCCCCGATTTATCTTTGTGTCTTTTCTTTGAAGAGAAACAAAAATTAGTAGGCTCAGAATATGTGAATTATAAAAACAGTAATTTTACAGGAATCAGGATGCTCTGGTTTTAAGACCTCTCCCTTCTCAGTTGGCTTTGCATCCCTAGGCTGCTTAGCATGCAGAAGACACCACATCCTGCTGTGAAGTTTATGAGGCAGCCTTGAAACTGGAAGAAAGATCTTCCCTTTCTTTTTTTTTAATTCTTCAGTTTTTTGTTTGTTTGTTTTTAATTGATTTCAGAGAGGAAGGGAGAGGGAGAGAGAGATAGAAACATCAATGATGAGAGAGAATCATTGATCGGCTGCCTCCTGCACGTCTCTTACTGGGGATCGAGCCCGCAACCCAGGCATATGCCCTTGACCAGAATCGAACCTGGGACCTTTCAGTCTGCAGGCTGACGCTCTATCCACTGAGCCATTCTGGCTAGGGCAGATCTTCCCTTTCTGGGTTTGAGACCCACACATCTGAGGCTGTGGGCATTTTAGATTCCTCCGGTGGATGGACCAAACAATATACCAACGCCATGAGATACATGCTTTAAACATCATCTACTCTTTCATGTAAATTCCCTATTAAAAATCATTAAAAGTCACAGTTGCCCTGTAAGTATTTCAGTAGTTCTTTGGTGTTAAAAAAAAAAGAAAGAAAGAAAAAAAAGAAAAGCAGTAGTAGACACGGCCATAACACAACAGTCATAACCTAATGAGGAAGACAACTAAAAGAAACAAGAAATAAAAGCACCATCAGCCAAAGCACCCTATACCAACCAATTATAGGTATAGAAATGATATTAGGCAATTGGTGACCACAGACTCAATAGTAAATATTTATTGAATGCTTACAATATAGCAGACGTTGTTGTAGGTACTGAAGACACAGCCATAAGCACACGACAAAAGTGCCTGCTCTTAATGGAGTTTATATTCCTAAGGGTGGAAACAGACAATAAACAGATATATAATATGTCAGTATAACAAGTGCTACAATATGCCAGGGGTGATAAGTTCTATGAAGAAGGATGAAGCAGGGCACAGGGAGGGAGATCACTGGGGTGGGGGTGTCAGGGAAGCCAAGACCTTGAGCAGAGACCTGAAGAAAGGGAGGGAGGAGGCGTGCAGGGAGCTGAGACAAGAAGGCGACTGTGAACACCCAGGGAGGAAATGTGTTTGGAAATGTCCAAGGAATAGGTAGGAGGCCAATATGTCTAGAGCCAAGTGAGCAAGGATAGGGAGTGTGAGTTGACGAGGGCAGAAATTATCAAGAACTCTGTATGAAATGAAGATTTATAGTCACTGATATTAGCAGTGAGCCTCATCCTAAGTGAACATCAAACTGAGCTTTTTAGCAAATGATAGTTTGGAGCCATTGTAATGAACAAAACACGCCATCATAATTTTAAAAATAAGCATCAGGAATTTTAGTAACATCATATTTAAGCGAGACTAAATTTTGTATTAAAAATAAATTTAAATATCTTTACAATATTCTTAGTAATTTCAGCTTCACCATATCCATTTAAAATCGAATTTTGGTGCATGTTTTGTAATATTGGGGGGGCATAGAGAGAGAAAATGAACATAATTTGCAAATAAAAATACATATAAAATACCAGCATGTTTAACTGATGGTTAGAAGTCATTGTAAGTATGGAAGATGTTGGAAACTCTAGCAGAAACAGATATAAACAAAATTTTTAAAAATTTAAATTACAATCGGATACAATAAATACATTATATTAGTTTCAGGTATACAACATAGTGATTAGACATTTACATAACTTATAAAATGATCACCCCAATAAGTTCAGCTTCCATATCTGACACCATACATAGTTAACACAGTATTATTGACTATGTTCTATTTACTGTACTTTACATTCCCATGACTGTTTTAATAACTGGCAGCTTGCACACCTTAATCCCTTCTCCTTTTCACCCAACCCCCCTCCCATCTGGCAACCATCATAATGTTCTCTGTATCTATGAGTTGACATAAACAAAATTTTAATTTATTAACCTGGGAGTGGGGATTTAGTGGGGCTCAAGGTGGAAGGGAGGGCCAAGTACCTGTTGGCTGGGATATTAATTCTAATTTGCAACCGTGTGCTGCTTGACATTTGCCAGGGATCCACGCACGGAATCTGGTTCCATCCTCACGTCAATCCTATGAAGTCAGGTTGGGGAAGCCGTTATCTCTTTTTCACAAGGAGTGAACTGCGACTTGGGTTGAGATACTGCCCCGAGCTCACTTGGCTAGAAAGTGGCAGGGCCAGGATCCATAGGAGGGCTTCTGGCTCCACAGCCAGCTCTCCATTAAGACACTCAATAAATATACTTGATAAATTAAGTGCTTAGTCTTGGCTGAGCGTTGTACCGGGTGGTGTGGCGGCATCTGAAAGAGAAAGTCACTCCCGCTATTCGCATATAGCCTTCAGTCTGGGACTAGGGATATTAAGCAGATACCTGTAAGACTGTACATGTACAAAGCAATGGACGTGTAAGAGTGAAGTAATACATTTAGCTCATAAGGATTCGGGGGGGCAAACAGTAAAGTTATACTATTCGTCAGTAGAGCAAGGTAGGGTTAATGGACAGAGCAGGGCTCCCTGGGTGGTAAGAGGTTGCCAGCTCAAACTAAGGTGAGCAAAGAAGGAAATTTGCTGGCTTGGAGGCCTGGAAACTACACACTAGCAGGGAGCCAATGATGTCACCAGGAGTCCGGGCCTGTCCATCCCCAACACTGTTTTTCTCTGCCTTAGTTTTATTCCCAGGTGTGGTAAGCTGGCCAGGGCAGCTCCTGGTTAAAGCCTACAAGCTCAGCTTTCACAGTGGAGACGACAGCACTTCTATCCTCATGACACTGGCAAAGTGGGGCTCTCCCACACTTGGGCTTTGTGCCTGTCTCTGAGCCAATCACTGTGGCCAAAGGGTGGCTGTGCTCTGATTGGATGGGCCGGGGTCACAAGCCCAGTCTTGGGTAGGGGTGGGTCAGCCCCAGGGATTGCTTCCCCAGAGGAAAATGGAGGGGCCCCCACTGGAAGTGGGAATGGCTGCCAGAGCTGCATTACAATGGGAAAGGGTCACTGAAGGAAGTAATGTTGCAAAATTTGAAGGGAGCATTGAGCTTGTTGTCAATCTTACAGAATTCTGGAGGAGAGCTGTTGCCCGAGATTCATGATATATGGGCATCCCCTGCAGAACATGGCTTTGAGTTTTTATTTGAGTTTTAATTTTTCCTTCCCCTTAAGTGTGAAGGACACTGTTTCTTCATATGGGGATACTCTGAGTTGAGACTCATCCCTTTTTTGTGCCTTTTCTGCTCTCTTCCCTTCTGTTTTATCTCTGAAACCACCAAAGACACGGCCTTTTAACCCCCCTGCCGGGAGCGGGCTGGGAGAGGTTAATAGGGGGAAAGGGAGGACCTATGGAATACTTTCAACAATAAAGATTTAAATAAATAAATAAAGAACCCCCCAGCCAGGCACTTGCTGGCCTTTTGTGGTGATTTTTCCATTAAGGCTGCTCTTACTGACCAAATAACAACCTGTTATTGAAGCTGCAAAAAGACAGTCCTCAGCCCTCCCCACACACTCCTCTGGGCTCCCAAGTTTGCTCTGTCCCCTTTTCAAGTTTGCATTTTCTCCTTCCACAGAGTTAGCAATTCTCCCCTTAAGAAGTCCCCTCCACTGTTTATTATGGTTTAACCATTTTTCACCCCATGCTCTTATCCCTGCCTTCTCCCAGTCCCACCCAGCATCCCTACTGAGCCCCTGTGGGACTTTGAATTTTAGAAAATGATTACGTGTTGCAAAGTCCTGCTCTAGAAGGCAGGCCACTCTATCTCCTGCCGCCCCCCCTCCCCCTCCCGCCCCATGGCCTTATCTCTCAGGCCTCCTCTCCTGTGACTCTGAAGCAGAGATGATAAGATCCCCAGAGGAAAGCATTTGCAAAGTGCTCTGAGTGCTTTGATGAAATTGATTGGGTAAATGGAAACATATTTCTTTTCAAACTGCTCTAGCCTATTAAAAAAGTAAGGTATGCAAATGCAATGACTCACCATTTAACAAATAATGAAGGTACTTTGTCATTTTAAATATTATTTCACAAGAGATATTTCCAGCAATAAAAAACCAGAACTGCTTGCTTTGAAGTGTTTAAAAAAATAAATACTGCTTGATATCTTTAAAGCAGTGCTTCCAAGATCGTTGATTGAGTTAACATTTTGTTGAATTTTTCTAGCTTCGCTTTTGAAGGGTCTGAAACATGCCAATATTGTGCTCCTGCATGACATAATCCACACCAAAGAGACACTGACGTTCGTTTTCGAATACATGGTGAGTTGCCCCAGCATTTTACAAAGCATGAGGGAAAAGCCTGGTGCTTGTATAATGAATCTGTTAATATTTTATGGCATGATAAAATTTTCATTACAATGTGGAAAGTGTCATGGAAATTTTCATTATTACGATTAACAGAGCCTATTGTTCTTATGCTTATTCCTGAATCTTGCCTCTTTGCCCATTGTATTTGCTGTCTCTTTCCCCTCACCAGCAGTAATTAATACGAATTTTGAGTTTGCCTCCTAAATAAAACGTTTACACTTTTAAAAAAATCTATTTTTAACCACCAGCTGAGCAGAGCCCAACATTTTTCATTGATAATGAAGATATAAACCACAAGGTTTTAAAACATTGTATCTAAGTTTACTAAAGAATAACTCACTGTAGTATTTCTGAGAGGGAAAACTATTCAAATATTAGCAGAAAGAAGTCATACGGTATGTGTACTTGACTTGCCCCCGAGAAGAGTGGAAACTCCCTGTGTCATGGTGTTCGGGGACAGTCATTTACGTAAATAGAGCATCTTGTTGTGCCGGGAAACAAGCTTCCTTCTAAGAGCAGCCAGCTAGAAAGACACACTGGGTTTGACCTCAGCAGTGGGGTCTCAGAAAACCTGGCTGTGTGCCTTCTGCCCCTTATTCTCAAAAACCTGAACTCTGTACGACCTCTGGCAGTCAAACGTACGGTCTGCTGTAGGGCACTGTGCAAGCACCACTAACAGCAGCCTCTCCACCGTTTCCTGTAGCACACGGACCTGGCCCAGTACATGTCCCAGCACCCGGGCGGACTGCACCCTCACAACGTCCGGGTGAGTGCTGCGAGGGGCAGGCCTCTCTGGCTCGCCCACCACAGGAGAATTTTGAAACAGGCTGACAGTGCAAAGCAAAGTCCCAGGACACAAAATAAGAAGATGGCCATCATTAATATTCTAGAGAAAAGTTAAAAAAAGAAAAGAAAAAAAAAAGAGAGTTGTCCTTCAAGAAATGGAGCAATGTTTAGTGGTTTTCTGGACAGCCTAACCTTGTCAGTCATTGCTATCATTGCAAATGTGTGCCTAGAAGCATAAGCCAATGAAAAGAATTGCACTGAGAAAAACAAGTGGAGGTAGGCCATCTTTTATAAAATAAATACCTTTTTCGTGGCAGACTGCTGTGCTCTGTGATAAAGTTTGTGTTGTATTTATAGTCCCCACTAGAATTAGCCAACAGAACACCTGTGTTGGATCCTGATCAGTTACCCTTTTGCCTGTCCGATCAGGTCCTGTTGTCTATGGAGCCAGCTTCCATTTTTTCCCAGTCATTAGAATAGAAATAATAATGACCTCTTAACAGATGTAATTCTACATGTGTTATAAATCATTTGTATTTTATACTTTTCATTCTCTAAAGTTTTATTGGCATTTAATTAATTAACCTAGACACATGAGATTTGCATATGTACTCATTCATTTAACTAATAATTTATGTATTAATTTATTCATTCAAGAAATACTTATTGAGGTCTTAGTACTATATTAAGTTCTGAGGTTTTACTAATGAATAAGTTGTATTTCTTACTTTCAGTGTGCTTAAAGCCCAGTAAGATAATGTGGACTTAAATGGGCAGTGAGAAGCAAAGTGATAAGGTTATGGCTGTGTTAATAGGAATATTATGAGACTCTTACTAAGGGGCTTAATCTCCTCTTAGAGGCAAGGGGGAAAGGTTGAGGGGAGAGGAGTTGAGAGGAATGAAGAAACCTTAATAGCTATTGGAGAATGGGGTAGAGAACTAACTAGGGAAACCAAGAAAGTCTAGGAGTGTATTAAATATTCTAATGAGAATGAAAATCATTAAGTTATCTGCATGTTCATGGGATTATTTTTTAAATGGCAGTGCTGCCATAGCCAGTATTGCTCAGTGGATAGAGCATCGGCCCTGAGGACTGAAGGGTCCCAGATTCGATTCCGGTCAAGGGCATATACGTGATTTGCAGGCTGGATCCCTGGCCCTGGTCAGAGGCACATGTGGGAGGCAACAAATCAATGTGTCTCTCTCACATCAATGTTTCTCTCTCTCTTTCTCTCCCCCTTCCTTCCACTCTAAAAGTCAATGGAAAAATATCCTCAGGTGAAGATTAACAAATAAATAAATAAATAAATAAATAAATGGCAGTGCTTAGCAATTTGAATAGAGCAGTGGTTCTCAACCTTCCTAATGCCGCGACCCTTTAATACAGTTCCTCATGTTGTGGTGACCCCCAACCATAAAATTATTTTCGTTGTTACTTCATGACTGTAACTTTGCTACTGTTATAAATCGTCATGTAAATATCTGATATGCAGGATGTATTTTCATTGTTACAAATTGAACATAATGAAAGCATAGTGATTAATCACAAAAACAATATGTAATTATATATGTGTTTTCTGGTGGTCTTAGGCGACCCCTGTGAAAGGGTCGTTCGACACCCAAAGGGGTCACGACCCACAGGTTGAGAACCACTGGAATAGAGGAACAGAGAAAGTAGACAGTTTATTGATTCAGAGTTGGGGTTTTGCCAGATAAGTGAGAGGAAAAGACCGTTTGGCAAGAGAATTGAAGAGAATGTCAAAAGGTTAAGCTGGTGGTCAGTGGCTTCTAAACTGAGGGAAGAAGTGAAGATAGGCAGGGTGCTGAAAGCTAGGTAGAAAGCAGAAGAGTCAAGAAACTAGACTAGAGGTGTTGATTACATAGAAAAGCAGTTGCAGGAAAAATAACGGTGAGAAAGATTTTCAGGCTATGTGACTCACATATAAGACACTGTGCTAAATGCTTCAGAGGAAAAAAAGACATGGAAGACAGATTCCGGCCCTCAAGACACTTACATCCGAAAACAAGATAAAAGAAATACACACCAATACTATTACATGGCATTTGTGAATAATGCCAAGTAAGAAATAAGACCTAGTTTGTAGATGTGTAAAGAAGTAGAATATATTTTCTCATTTTAAGAGGCTTCATTTAAGCCAGAACTCAAAACATACATTCATTTTGAGAGGCTGAAATAGGGGAAGATGTTACAGAAAGGAGGAATGTGTTCACCAAAGGTACAGAGCAGGGAAATAGAGGATGTATTCAAGGAAGAGGATCCCAGAATCATGGACTGTTAGGGCGACGGGGCCGACAGTGGTTTTCAGTTTTCGGGTTCTGACACATTAGTGGGTTATGAAATCAATGTGGTGATTAGCAACCAACATTTTAAAAAATGAAATGAAATGGGAAGGAAGAGAATAGAAAATGTTTTGTGCAACTTTTGGTCTAGTTGAAACTGTACTTATATCTGGATATGGATGTAAATACTGGGTACATATATATTTGGTTGCAATACAAAAAATGCTTTAAAAACACTGGGCTGATCTAACATTTTTGTTTTGCAGAATTGGAATCTAAGATTTGAGAGGACAAATATTTTGCCAGAGGTTATAGAACGAGCCTTTGCCATAGCTAAATATGATTCTTGGTTAGGATGCTTTCCCACTACTGCCATATTGCACCTCTGGTCCTGTTGGCCTGACATGTAGAATATATTAGTGAAGTGGGGTACATAAGTCTGGGGAAATTGATTGGGTAGGTGGCCGAGAGCCTCACTTCCTAAGATGTGGACTCTATTCCTTAGACATTAGAGTTATTAAAGGGGGTTGAGTTGAGAGAGCATGACATGATCAGAAGGAAATTTATGTAACTGTGGTCTGTGGGATGGATTAAAGAGAGGAGACTGGAGTCAGAAATTCCAGTTAGGAGTTTATTGATGTGGTCTAGCCCAGTGCTTCTCAAACTGCAGTGAGCAGATGAACGACTTGGGGCTCTGATCCAGGCGGCCTACGGTGAGCCTGAGCTTCTGTTTCTAACATGATCACGGGGGATGGGGATGCTGCTGGTCAAGGAACAAACTTTGAATAGCAAGGATCTAGGTAAGACGTAATAAAGGCCTAAATTATGGGAGTGAAGGCGAGAATGGAAAGGAATGTGAAAAATGGAAACAATGAAGAGTTCATCCAGGACATGAAGAAGGAGAGGGTGGGGCCAAACATGACTGATTTTGAGTTTGATTGACCAGGAGAATTATAGCTCTATTACTAGAAATAGAAGAAGTTGGTTTGGAGAAGAGGAGGAGTCCTATCTTAGATGGAATGAGTTCCTAGTTGAGGTTAGGGTTAAAGTTATATATATATATATATATATATATATATATATATATAGAGAGAGAGAGAGAGAGAGAGAGAGAGAGAGAGAGAGAGGAGAGAGAGAGAGAGAGAGAGAAAGAGGAGAAAAGAGGAATGTGGATCTTAGAAGGAAATAGTGAGTTAAGTTTTGGACATTTTGAGTTTAATGTGATTATAGGATGTCCAAGTGAACGTCAGACTATTCGGGTCTAAAGTTCAAGAGAGAGTCTGAGTTGGAGATAAAGATTTTGAAATCTGCAGAATACAGTTGTTAATTGAGTCAGTTAGTAGATAAGATGGCTAAGGGGGAGTATGTGGAGTGATAAGAGAAGGTCCAGGATGGAGCCCTAAGGAATTTAAATATATTGGAGATCAGTAGAGGAAGTGGATAGAACCCATAAAAAAAGAGGCTTCAGAGAAGTAGGAGAAAAATGATAAGATTGTGTTACCAAGGAAGAGCTTCAGGAAGGTCAACAATTCCAAATGCTGCAAAGAAAAGGAATGAGAGGTATCCATTGGATTTCCACAGCGAAAGGCATTGGTGACCATGGTAAAACAACAACAATACCTAACAAATGACATGATCAAAATAGTTGCTTATGATGGCAAGACCTACTGTGTTACCATGGAGTGAGGGGCTGAAGCTGCCTGGAGAAGCAGACCACTGGAGGTCAGCTTGCCATGTTCACACGGGCACTGATGTCAAGGGAGCAACCGCTGTGATCTCGAGAGAATGATGCCGGGTGGTGAGTGTGTGGGTGAGAGTGACAAGAGGAGTAGAGGAAGATGTAGCTGGATGTCAAGAAAGTCTAAGCAACAGGGGTTTTTACTTAAGGGTAGAAAAGGAATGGTTTTGAAGTGGGATTGAGGAGTCAGGAGGCAGCTGCCCCCACCCCCCTGCGATCGGATGTATGAGTGAGCTGTAGAAAAGCTAGCATCCACGTACGAATGCTATAAAGGAGCAGTGAGCTCAAGGTCCCCTTGAAGGAAAGGAGCCGGAAGAAAATCCATCAGAGGTTGTGTTGTAGAGAGTTTTTAATCCAGAATTGAGGCGTGAAGAGTGAGCAGTGAAAAGGTTTGGGAGAGGAAGGAACCATGGATTATGTGAAAGGAAGCACAGAGCAATACAGAGATGAGCTTATGGGAGGGAAAAAGAATAGTCCGAGAGGCTTACATTTTGAGTAGTGACCACAGAAGACATGATGGGAACCGCCTGGGATTTAACAAACCCCAGGAATCCCTGGTGAGTGGAGCACTCGGGCTTCCCTGCAGGACTTGGCTGACTCATCTGATTGTGTTTTGAGGGATCCCAGCCCAGATGGCAGTAGCCCAAACGAATTACATTTTGTTCCCAAGAGCCTCACTGTGTTGGAAACAGAACTAACCCCTGAGGTACAGGAAGCCTCTCTGGAAAGAGTCACCCACGATCTGGCTTGATGTTGACTGAGAAAAAGCACCATCTGATTGGGTCATTATCGGTGAAGCTTCGGCAGGGTTGAGGGAAGACTCCAGGCTGGAAAGGATTGAAGAGTGAGTGGGTGGTGAGCTTCGTCAGCACACACTGCCGTTTGGAGAAGTGTGGCTGTGGGACCCCATGCCTGACCACCACGGGTGCTTTACTGTGCACACAAGCTTGCAGAGAGAGATGTGGAGCCTAGGAGGAAAGACTGAGAGCAAGAAGGTGGGAGGCGGGTGTGACTAATTAGTGAGAACAGCCTCTCCTTGGGACATGAAAGGCACTTCAGCCGGCCCGGCCCTCCCTCGGAGAAGCTCTGTGGCTGACTCAGCCCGCCCACTCCCTTTCCCTGTCATGTTTTGACTTTCTGTCTTTTCTCCGGCTTCCCAGGCTGGTGTAGTGGAGTCAGGCACGTCTGAATTTGAGCTGTGGCCCTGACTCTTTCTAGACATGTTTTCAAAGTTTCCTATTTTTCTTATCTGTGAAGTGAGGGCAAGCATACCTTCCTCACAGGAGTGTATTGGGGATTGATTACAAAAGGTGACAGGCATTCAATAAACGGTACTTTCCCTGTCTTCCTTCTTCTGTCTCTCCCTCGCTGATCTCCCTCGCTTTCTGTCTTCTGTCGCTCACCTGTCTCCATTTCCCTCTCTCCTATACTGTCCCATTGAAAAACATCGACTGTGGCAACGTATCTTTCAGCTGGATTTTTTTAAATATTGTCTTTTCCATAAACATTATAACCAATTGGAAGGTTTAAACGATGGTATAAGAATTTTGTGTTTCGGTAGCGTAGTGGTTTGATGAGTGGAAAAGTAAATAGTGTGTGTATTTGAAGCACGAAGATAAAGCCTTGGGAAGATTCATAGGACCAGTGAACATTTGAGGTAGGAGTCTCAAGAAGTTTTTTTAAAATATACATTTTTTTTTTTTATTGATTTCAGAGAGGAAGAGAGAGAGATAGAAACATCAATGGTGAGAAGGAATCATTGATCGGCTGCCTCCTACACACCCCACACTGGGGAGCACGTGTCCCCGACCGGAATCGAGCCTGGGACCCTTCAGTCTGGAGGCCAACTCTATCCACTGAGCAAAACTGGCTAGGGCTCAAGAAATTGTTAACATTCCTAAATGGCTTATGAAACTGATGTGGGATCTGCATCGAACCTACGGCCACAGAGTGCTGTGGTAGGTAACCCCCCCCCCCCCCCCACAAGGCTCCTGCTTCGGTCAGACCAGGCTGCTCATGAACTTGGCTTCAGTGTGTCCAAGTCATTGTGAGATCAGTACAGGTCCTAGCGTCTCTGCAGTTCCTAGTTTCCAAGGTGTGGTGGGAAAGTGGATTCATCCACACAGCTCTGTGTCTGCTATTTTGCCTGCGTCCACAGGAAGCCTGGGGCTGGTCCTTTCTTTTCTAAACTGTCAGAACATGTTTGCAGTTGGCATTGGTCTTTGTAAACACTAATTGTTGGTATTTGAATTCTCAATTGCCAGGGGCGCTGGAAAATAGCAAAAGACACTTGGAAAACGGAGCATTCTTTTCCCCCTTAAACTTCTATAATGGTGGGGATCTGAAAATGTCTGGTTACTGTGCCTTATAACCACGTGCAACATTTAAAATTTGGGGCCCTGAATGTATTTTTTCTGTTGTTTCCCTTTCCCTCTTCTTTCTTCTCTCTGCTATTTATTCCTCGGTCTCTTTTGATTTTTTTTTTTTGTGGGGGGGGGGGGGCTAATTTCTTTTGGCTCTTTTCCCTCTTAATCTCTACTGTATATTTCCCTTATTTTCAACTTTCAACCTAAGACTTTAAAAATAGGTTTAAAAAGATAATGGTCCCTTTCTTTCCTTTTACTATCTAAGGATACGTTTCCCAGTCTGGTCTCCTTGTGTTGTGTTTTTAAAAGGCTTTCATATCAGAGAGCTTGGGAAATGTAAGCAGTTGTAAACCTTAGAATATCATTTCCAGGTCAACTTTGATCTTACATGCCAAGTTTGTCGGTGGGAAAAAAAAATTAAATCTCTCAAATCTAAATCAATAACTAGTGTTCCAAGAGAAACTTCAAAGTTTCACTCTAGATTTTAAGGAAGGGTAATTCCTTCAATACCAAAGACATGAGATATCAGGGAAATCCAGAATCCCTTTGTTTAGGACATGGTCTACTTGCTTGTACTTTCTTCCCCCTCTGAATAGAAAATCTCCTTTTTTTTTCTTTTCTTTTTTTTATCTCTCAAGAGACACGTTTACTATATTCTTCGGATGACTGTTTTTGATTTAGAGAAGAAATCCACACATAGTGGCTCAAATCTGTTTAGATAAGGTGTTCATTCCTTCCAGCTTTTCATGTTTCAACTTTTGCGGGGCCTGGCGTACATCCACCACCAACACGTTCTTCACAGGGACCTGAAACCTCAGAACATTCTCATCAGTCACCTGGGAGAGCTCAAGCTGGCTGACTTTGGTAAGCTGCCCCTCGAGTCTCTTTCTGGGCTGTGAACAATGATGCTTTTGTGCACACGTGTTTAAAGCATCGACGAGTCCTGGCCTTTGAAAAGTTGAGGCTCAGGGAGAGCGATGCTTTGTGAGGATATCAAACTACCATATAGGAAGTGCGAGGCAAGACATGGAGAGATTGGCAGCTCTCTAGGATCATATCAAGCTCCAGTCTGGTCAGATCCTAAAACTTGGGCACCCCTACTAGTCTACTGCCTTTTTTGATGAGAGACATTTATAGAGTGAACTTTACTTGGTAGGTTTCTGTAAATCTGGGTGGAGAGACAGATTCTATCAGAGTAGATTGAGGATATCCCAGGATGACAGGATCAAGCCCCAGATTGTCGAATAGACTCTTCCTGCAATGAAGGCTCTTGGTATCTATATAGGTGAGGCTTTTATTTCCACCAAAGTGATGCCGATTTCTCCTGAGTATTACTCTATCTTTCCATTTTAGCACTTATCACAGTTTATAATCACACACACACACACACACACTCATTTGTGTGACAATTTTGACTCCTCCACTAGACTATGGGCATTATCATGGCGGCCTGGGTCCATTTTTGCTTAATATTGTATCCCTAGTGCCTGGCACCATAGTAAGTGCTCAACAAATATTAGTTGAAGAGCTGGTTCCGTGGGAGCTGAGAGCCGCTCTTCCCTGTTTGGCAGATGTCAGAGAGTTGTACTGTCGCTGCAGCACTTTATTCTGAGATAGTAGCTTTCATCCGGGTATGTACGTAAACATTCAACAGACATTCATTTATCCAAGCCCCACACAGTGACTCATCTATTGAGTATTCTTCCGGCTGTAGATCTTGTGGTTCTGTGAGATCAGTGGCTGGCTGACAAAGTGCTCTCATTGTGCAGGGGAGCCCTTGAAAATGACTCATCTAAGGTCCTACCAAACTAACCAATTTGGATTAGCAACCCCCACCCTTTATCTAACTGGGGATTCCTGGACTGCAGAAATGGAGGGCGGCCGTATTGGTCAGGAAGTGAGTTCTGTCGCTGTTACAGAGACCCAGAATTACAGAGGCAGAAACATGCTAGAAGCTTACTTACTCTCACATAACCGTCTGAGCTGAGCAGTCAGAACGTGTAAGGTGGCACCCCGATGCGTGGTGCACCCTCCTTCTGCCTGTGGCCCCCCGGCCCCAGGGTGTTGCCCCAGGTGCATATTTCAAGATGGCTGCTGCCTCCTTCTTATTACAGCCGGGAGGAGGGAGATCTGGAAGTTCGCACATCACTCCTGTTTGTATTGTGCAGGCAAGATTTAGTCACTCATTACACTTAGCTGCCAGGAAGGCCACCTCTAGCTGCAAAGTCGGCCAAACTTTGAGAAATGGACTTGATGGAGAAGTGCACAAGGATTAAGATAGTTGAGTAGCTTTATTAAAAGCACCCAGAGAGTGTGTGTTATTTTTAAATATTGTTTACTCAGCCAGCTAAACCCTCCCTGGTAGAATGTGTCACTGTGGCTCTCCAGATCCCAGGTAATGAGTTCTGTGCTTCTCCCCTTTGGTCAGGTCTTGCTCGGGCCAAGTCCATTCCCAGCCAGACCTACTCTTCAGAAGTTGTGACCCTCTGGTACCGCCCTCCTGATGCTCTGCTGGGAGCCACTGAATATTCCTCTGAACTGGACATATGGTAAGAGCTAGTGCCCCCAAAATAGGAGTCACCCTACCCTTGAGGGTTACTTTATCATCTGTACTACATTTTAAATAATAATTCTAATGACAATCACATTTGTCTACAGAAACATAAAGTGCTTTCAAATACCTATCTCATTTGATTTTTCCAATCATTCTACAAGTTTTTACAGTTAAAGAAACTGAGACTCAGATCAGTCTTGCCCAACGCATCTGAATCCTATATTCTTTCTATCATGCCTCACCTCCTAGCTCTTCTCGTCAATCCTTTGTCTTTTCTCCTTGTCCTCAGAGAAACACACACACGCTCCCAACACACACACACACACACACACACACACACACACACACACACACACTCGTCTGTACATGCATGCTCACACATGTCCAAACATAGTTCAGAGCCTGGTGGCAAAAGGAGACCTGATTTTTATGCCAATTCTACTTCTAATCAGTTTCTCTGGATTCTGTTATCTTGAAAAAGCCATGTATCCTCTTTATGTCTATGTTTCTCTATTTTTAAAATGAGGGTAACAAACTCTCCCCTTGAGGGGTTAAATGGGATGGTAGTTCAAGTGTAAGAACAAGATAGATGGTGTCAAGTAGAACCACATTGTTGGGGAGGCTCTTGGATTAAAGGGATGTGGTGATGAGTGTGGGCTCTCAGGCACTCCTCCTTCCTAGGGCAGTGGTGTTATGTTATCTAGACCTTATTCCTGAAATATCTCAGGCATGTGGGGGCCACAGTTAGATGTGTGGTGACCACAGTCATAGGCACCTCCTCAAAGGTAAAAAAAATACATGGACTTCTTTCAAGACCTTAGAAGGTCATATATAAACGGTAGGCACTGTTTTTTAAAAAAAAATCAATAATGGATTAAAAGCATTAGACAGTATCCTAAAAGGCTAAACTAAGCTTTAGATTTCCCAAAGAATTGAGAAAGGTTGCAGAAATTTCCCCCCGTGTATCTGGAGCATTGATTTCCTAATCCCCGGTGCCAGCACACACAGAGAAGGGTTAGGGCAGGGGGTGGAGACCATTGGATGGTATTCACCAGCTCAGTTTCTGAGTTGGCTTATCTCAAAGTTGACCATTGCTAGCAACCAAAATGATTTTAAACCATTTGACAGTTTTCCATTACTTCTAGTCTTCTCCACTTAGTGTTTTAAAATTATACCTTTTATAGGGTGTCCCAAAATTCATGCAAGATTTGAATTTTGTGTGAGCATTAACAACAACAACAAAAAATAAAAGCCTAATTTTACTTGGTTTATTGAATCTGATTCTAATATGTGTTGCCCTTTGATTTCAATCCCTTCAATTTGATAAGAATTACCAAGTACCAATTATGGCCCAGGAGCAGGGACAATGAAGACCAATGAAGACCACGGCTTTGCGTATGTGCCAGCAAAGCCGTGGAGGCCATTTACCTGATGTGCTATTCCATACATAACCCTATGCTGTATACTTTATGGATCAATAAAAAATTTACAATTTTTAATTATAAACCTTTGTTTTCTATCAAAATTACAGTGGGGCCTTGACTTACGAGTTTAATTCGTATCGTGATGGAGCTCGTAACTCAAATTACTTGTATGTCAAATCTTAAAGTGAACGAGTGAGACACGTGATGCTGGGCTGATGTTGTGGCGTTCACTGTGACGTTCGCTGCGCCAACTAGTGGTGGGGTATCTGAAGCTGGCTCGTAACCCGAATTTTAGCTCGCAACTCAAAGCAAAAAATCGGCCGAGAGACGGCTCATATCTCGAAAAACTCGTTAATCGGGACACTCGTAAGTCAAGGCCCCACTGTACTTCTTGCGTGAATTTTGGGACACCCTATATATCTGTTGCTTTAAAGATAAGAAGCAAAAAAGAATGTGGATATTTAAAGACAAGCTAATGAGAAGCTTTAAAATGACAATAGTTCTAAAAATTTGACTCAAGACACTACTGACCAGATTCTTTGTTAATCCTCACCTGAGGATACTTTTTCCATTGATTGTTTTTAGAGAGAGTGGAAGGAGGGGAAGAGACAGAGAGAGTACATGCCCTTGACCAGAATCAAACCCAGGACCCTTCAATCCACAGGCCAACGCTCTATCCACTGAGCCAAACCGGCTAGAGCTAACCAGATTCTTAAGTTACATTTGTCTGATCAAAGATGTTTTAACACATATCAAGATGTCTCCTAGACATGAAAAATCATTAAAAAGTAAATATGTGGCTATTATATCCAAATTGACTTTTTAAAAATTGGGGATAAAAACAACCTGTTGTTTGAGGGGGAGGAAATCTGCTTGCAAACCTCAATCTGGTAGCTTTTATTCACATACGTACAAAAGTCTAAGAATAAGCCAGTTGATTATTTAAAATGCAAACCCAATATTAGCTCATGAAAACAGTCTATATTTCTTTAGAAATAATAAAATACAGTTAGATTTTAATTATATATATAAGAATTCTGCTTTCTCCTACCCAAGTTAAAGTAAATTAAATAGCGTGTGTCTATAGTCAGATGGAAAAAATAAAAATTTATCACATGGGATAAATACATGTGAATAATATTAAAGACCATATTTAATATGAATCTTTAATAATATGATGATTTGTAATAAAATGTTTTACTTATATATCCTTTATCATGCCAGGCCAAAAAATGTCAAGCTGGTTCAGGGAGTTTGCAGAAGTGTGTGTTATGGTGAAAGGGTTTTGGAGCCAAAATATTGGACCGTGGGGAGAATCTCTGTAATCTGTCCACTGAGCCATTTTTATCATCCAGAGACGATAAGAAGAAAAGTGTGCATTATTAGCAAAATAAATCATACTTCTTACTGTCTCTCAACAATGACTCTCTCATTTGACTACATAGAGAAGGAAACATGTTTCACCCCATTTAACCTATTTTCAGACGCACACTCTTGTTGCACCTTAAATCAGCATGCGGCTTACAATCAGCAGCATCTGACCGTAGCCATCAGCCCGGCTGCACTGTAGTTGCCATTGCACATGTGTGAACAGCAAACGTGCCAGCGTCAGGACTTGCAGCATGAGTGTCAGTGACTTGGAAGAATCTTGCTGACAGAAGAGCGCCCCCTCCCCCCTCCCTCCCCCTCCCTCCCCCAAGAACCAAACGGTTGTGGAAAGAGAGTGAATCAGACGTGTTTAGCCACATTCTTTAAGCAGGAGTCACCTATGTAAAAAGGTGACATAGAAGTAGGCTATGTAACTGCAAGGTCAGCTTGGGAGCCCAGCACCAGTGACTGTTAGTTCTTTAATGGATTATTTTAAGACATGCTGTGTCATCAAACTCCTGATGTCGAGGGCGATACCGTGGATAAACATAGACATCAAAGAGTCTGAGTCAAATGCTGAATGTGGAAAAAAGTTTCAGGAACACCTAAACCAATGTCTTTCACTTGATGTTCCAGTTTTTGCATGTACAAGTACGACATATGATGAAATAATGTGTCTAATTAAGTGTATAGCAGCCCTTTCAATAAGTATAAAGGCAACATTCTGAGCATGTCATAGTTCAACTCGCAGGTGTTTTGTTTCTTAATGGCACACACAATAGTGGTGCCTCTTACAATGACAGCATCTTAGGTTCAGTGGAAGAGAGCGTTCAGTTTGGAGGTTTAGAACTTTCCCCTCCTCTCATAAAATGGACAGTTAATGAGCTTGAATGAGCCAGAATATTTGCTCCCTATACTGTGTTCCTAAATGCTGGTTGCATTCCAGTTTAACAAAAAGCTGCAGGCTGTTCTTATTTTTTGGTTGACAAAGGGACTTTTATTTTTTTTGCCCAAGATTTTATAATAGCATGTGGCCTCTATTTAACTATCCCCAAAATATTCCCTGGGAGGAGAAATGCTAGTAGTTCAGTTTTGCAGGTCTGGTTTCCTTGAAACGGTCTGTTGACTCTTATTTCTTTTGCTAGGGGTGCCGGCTGCATCTTTATTGAAATGTTCCAGGGTCAACCTTTGTTTCCTGGGGTTACCAGCATCTTTGAACAGCTGGAGAAGATCTGGGAGGTAAGAGAAGAATTCCTCTTAGGAAGAAGAAATATCTGCGTTTCAAACTTTAAATCAAATTTGCCTTTGAGACGAATGACGCAGTCCATCTGCTTTGAGATATGAAGCTCCATGTTAAGGTCATGGAGACTGTGATATTTGCAACAGTATAAGTACCTTGGGAATGAGTGTCCAGAAACCCCTGTTGTCCTGTAACATCCCATGAATCCACCTGCGCCCTATACTATAGTCTCGGTTTCTTGGGGCAATTTCTGCCGGTCCTAGTTAAGCACATTTCTGCCTGGCCACCCCCAGCTCGAATTCTACTATATGTCTGGCCCTGAATCTTTGTCAACTGAAGACAAGGCACTAAATTGTCATAGAACTCCAATGGAAACGAAGGCCTAGCATGTTCGTGTGAGAGAAATACTGTATTTATCATGCTCTTCCAAAACCAAATGCCTAAGATGTTAAGGTGCTTTTGCGTGTGTGGTTCCATTTCTTTTATTCTTAAGTTTATTTTTAATTATGATTTACATTCCATATTATTTTGTATTAGTTTCAGGTGTACAGCATAGTAGTTAGACAATCATATACTTTATAAAGTGATTTCCCTGGTATTTCCAGTACCCACCCAGCACCATACATAGTTATTGCAATATTATTGACTACGTTTCCTGTGCTGTACTTTACATCTCCGTAACTCTCTTGTAGCTACCAATTTGTACTTCTTAATCCCTTCACCTTTGTCACCCAGTTCCCCCAAACTCCTCCCCTTTGGCAACTATCAGTCTGTTCTCTGTGTCTCTGAGTCTGTTTCAATTTTGTTTGCTCATGTAGTTTGGTCTTTAGACTCCACACACAAGTGAAATCATATGGTATTTGTGTTTCTCTGACTGATTTATGTCACTTAGCATAATACCCGCTAGGTTCATCCATGCTGTCATAAATGGTAAGATGTTATTCTTTTCTATAGCCAAGTAATATTTCATTGCATATCCACTCTCTATTGATAGACACTTGGGCTGCTTCCATATCTTTTTTAAAAATTTATCTTATTGTTGGCAGTATTACAGATGTCCCTTTTTTCTCCCATTGACCGCTCCACCCCGCCCTCCCAGGCCTTCATCTCACTATTGTCTGTGTCTGTGGGTTATGCATATATACAGATAATCTCTCCCCACCCACCACCCACCCCTGCCTTCCCTCTGAGATTCTGTTTCATTCTTCTTTGTCTCTGGATCTATTTTGCTTCCATATCTTGGCTATTGTAAATAACACTGCAGTGAACATAGGGGTGCATGTATTCTTTCAAATTAGTGTGTTGAGTTTCTTTGGATATACACCCAGAAGTGGAATCACTGAGTCATAAGGCAGTTCCATTTTTACTTTTTTGAAGAACCTCCATGCTGTTTTTCATAGTGGCTGCACCAATCTTCAATCCCACCAATAGTGCATGAGGTTTCCCTTTTCTCCACATCCTTGCCAAAAGTTGTTTGTTGATTTTCTGATGATACCCATTCTGACAGGTGTGAGGTGATATCTCATTGAAATATATTTTTATTGATTTCTGAGAGGAAGGGAGAGGGAGAGAGAGAAACATCAATGATTAGAGAAAATCATTGATTGCCTGCCTCCTGCACGCCCCCTACTGGGGACTAAGCCCACAATCCGGGCATTTGCTCTGACCAGGAATCAAACTGACTGCCTGGTTCATAGGTCAACGCTCAACCACTGAGCCATACTGGCCGTACTAGAAATTATCTTTAATACACACATAAAGGTGCGGAAAACTTTAGGGAACACTGGGGAAAGGGGAAAATAATTAGTTGCCAGTTCTGGAAAGTTATTGTCTCACCTCGATGAAGAAATTCTATGCCAGTCTCGTGCTAGAAATTCATGACCCAGAAGACACTGTCTTCTGGCTAAAATAAAATGTGCTTTGAGATATTAAGACATTTTATAGAGATTAATTACTGCCATTAAAATTTTCTTTTTGATATATGGGGGCTATTATGGAGCAACATAGGAAATACTGATTTTTTTTTTCTCCAAGCTCCCCTGCAAGACAGATAAATGCTATTTCTCTTCAAACAGCATCACTGGGTGAGAAAACATTGTCTAAGCTGGAGGCAGCTTAACGTAATAATAGCTTTAAAGCTGTAAAGCCAGGGTTTGAATTCTAGCGACTTTTTAGCTAAACAAATGTGGGCAGGTTCAGCTTGCTCATTTGTTAAATGGGGCTGGCGGTCATGACTTCCTAGCCTTCTGTCAGAATTCCATAAGGTCAGATGCATAGCAAATTTCCTGCGCCAAAAGTGCTCAAGAAATATCTGCTGCCTTTCCCTGTCAGATAAATTATGATTGTAGAGATGTTTCAATCACCTAAGTGCGGAAAAGCCTTTCCTGATATACAGCCTCGTTGTTCCTCCGTGTGGTCTTACTTCTTGTCCACACTAGAGGAAGTACTTAGATATCACAGAACAGAAAGAATGGGCCAGACATTTCCCAGGACCCGATGGCTCTCTAGTTATTGGTTCAAGTTTCCAGGACTGGCCTTGCTGACTGACACTGGCCATCTGAAGATGTGTTTGGTAATTCAGTAAGTGAAAGAATTTGCACTTGAACCTGGACATTAAGTACCAAAACAAAAATGTCTTAACAGCAAAAACAAACATGTCTTGACAAATAGTTCCTGCCCAGAAAGCCATGTTCATGCCTACCATTGTCTTTATCACACTGCAGTCAACCAACGGGACTTTATTTTGACATTTATGACAACTCATTGCAAATTTAAAACAAGTGACCATATTAGAAATACCACTGGCCTGCAGTCAGAAGACGTGAGTTCTGAACCCAGCTCTAACTTCAAGTTATGAGGGAGAGCAATTCACATCACCGACCTCCCTGGGTTTCCAGCGTGATACATGTTACAGAGGCTCCTCAACCTATGACAGGTTACCTCCTCATAAACCCATCATAAGCTGAAAATGTCATAAATCAAACCATAGTAAGTCCGGGACCACTTGTATTTGATTTTCTGATTCCATGAAGTTGTGACTTCTTTGAACAAGAAGAATCTTGTAGCTCCCATCATTTAAAATCATAATATTCTTCTCTGTTTATCTGATTCCACCACCCACCCAGGTAGTTTTTATCGAGTTTGTCAACTTGCATAGCTCATTGTTGACTTTTGATCTGTACTGACCAAGGATACAGTTCCATATTGCCTAGCCATACTTTGTGAGCAGCAGGTCAGATTCATTATGTCTCATTCCTACCTGGTCCTGTCGAAGGAGGACAATGGTTTTGTCATCATTGACATTTATCCCAGCTGTAGCTCCACACTCTGAGGGCAAAGTGGAAAAGTCACCCCATTCAGCAGTGTGTTGTCTTTCTGCTACTACATCTCAGGCGGGTTAGAAATATAAACATTACAAATAGTTCCTGAACTTATGTTTTACTAAACATGGTCTACCCAAATGAGAATAGGAAATCCATTTCCAGTCTACGAGAGTGGATGTAGGAATGGCATCTTTGAAAGCAACGTGCCCATTCTAAATCTCCCTGTCTCTAAACACAACCTTCCTCTAGATTTATCCTGAGGTCTCACTCTTAGGAATAAAGACATTATGAGTCCTGAATTTTTCTTTTACTGTCTTTCTGAAGTGTGTGTGTGTGTGTGTGTGTGTGTGTGTGTGTGTGTGTTCACATCTGAATAGCTGTCACTGGCTTTCTGGGACCTAATTCTTTCAATAAGCAGTTTTAGCAAATAATCCCAGCTGTGGTTCTAAAATCAGAATAAAACAAACTATGCAGACCTTGAATCCATTAATCAAAATGCCTTCAGTTTCCATTCCAACAAAGGCAGAAAACAGCCCCTGCAGCCCACTGTTTTCAAATATAGCACTCACTAGTTGCCTTTTTAGGAGCCTTTAGGGAGGGCGTAAATCAACAATTTTTGGTTTTTAGTTTCCCAGACTGAAGTGGAGATTTAGTAATTTTCTCAAGTGAAAACAAATTCAATAACTTTCAAATAGAAACTCAGCATCAAATTTCCAAATAAAGGATATTGAATTTTGTTTAAACGTTTAAAATCTCAAGCTTACAGCTTTTAACATAATAAACATTATTGGTATCCATTTTGCTGATTTAATTAAACATAACACAAAATAACCATTCTGGTAACTTTCGCCTCAGAAAAATATGGATGTGGTCGTTATTTATTTCTCTTATTGCTTTCTCTTCATTATCTTTGCTTTCTTTTCATTGTACTTTGCCCATTAACAGAAGACGCATGGCTCTCTGTGAGTCACATCCACTGGCTTACATGCACCTCTGTGCAATAAGCATCCAATGCATATGATGGTAGGTTAAAAACGAGGAATTAGCTTCCCACCCTCCTGCCCACTCATACAAAAGTAGAAGTAGTCCCGTTGGCTTTTCACAATGGATTCAGGACCTTTAGTGCTCCTTGGGCTCGGGTGGTTGATAGGAGACGCCTGTAATCCTCCCAGTAGCTTTTCAGCTTATTTAGGGAGTGGATCAAAGAAAGAAGATGTTGCTGTGCGGTGTGATTTTTCATTCTATGAGGGAAAATAGCACTTTGGTGTCTTTTGTTCGAGGACAAGCTTAACAGGCACCACAAAATGTACTTTCCTGCCAGAGTCCTGGTCAGCAAGCCCATGGGTATTAAGGTTCTGGATTCCTCATTGATGATCATCAGCCACTTGTTGGGCATTGACTTCTTACTGCCTCTGTCCAGCATTTTACAAATGGATTCTGTAGCCTCTTTCTATAAGAAATGCTTCTAAGAAGAATTATATTGTAATGGTGTAATAATAGCTATTAGTATTTTACTAACATTTTATAAAAACAGTGTTATTCTAGCTCCCAGATATAACTAACATTAGGCTTTTATGATTATCTTTTTTTAAAATGATAAGGCGATACCTATAAGGAAACTCAGAAACATCACCATCCCAAATCTGAAATGTTTTGTCGTCGTATTCCCAAGGACTGTTATTTTCCCATTAATTCAAAACTAGAGCTTTAATTTGGTAAGCCAAAGTACAAAGGAGGTTTTCTTTAGTGATGTTGTTACTATTACTACCCACCAGTTAAAACCCAAATACCAGACTCCAAGCTGTTGGGCCACAGAAAACTCAAGCAAATGAGATGAATTTGGTAGAAAGGACTGGGATTGGGCTGGGGATCATTTTTAGCCAACATTCCACTGCCTCAAGGTCAGTAATCTGAACCCTTTTAATTTGAGCGTATTGTGGAACAGCTGAACGCCAGGCTGGGCATAATGTAGGCTGTCAATGCCTCCTGTTGGATATATATATAGTTCTCTAATGTAAGGCAAAGGGACATCCCTCCTGCTTCTTTATATCCCAGCTCCCAACATAGCATCCTAATGTATGTTGGTCGTGCAATAGATATTTAATGATGAGGATATGACTTCAAGCAAGGCTGTATGATCTGCTTCAGAATGAGTGAGTTAGTGGAGACACAAGCTCAGGACCTGTATTAGGATTCTCCAGAGAAACAAAGCCAATAGGATATCTAGAGATCTATAAGAGGAGATCTATTGTTGGAATTGGCTCATGCGGTCATGGAGGCTGAAATATGCCATTTGCAAACTGGAGACCAGAAAAGCCAGTGGTTCTGCTATAATTTAGTCCGAGGCCAAGGGCCCGAGAACTGCGGGGGCTGCCGGTGATAAATCTGAGTCTGAAGACCCGAGAGCCAGGGGCACTGATGTCTGAGGGCAGGAGAAACCGGACATCCCAGCTCAAGAAGAGAGAGATCATGCCCTTCCTCCCCCTTTTTGTTCCTCTTGGAGCCCTCAATGGGTTGGATGATGCTTCCCAGGTGGGTGAGGACGGGTCTCTACTCAGTCCACTGATTCAAATGCTAATCTCTTCCTGAAACATCTCACAGGCACACCCAGAAAAGACGTTTTACCAGCTATCTGGGCGTCCCTTGCCTCAATCAAGTTCACCCATAAAATTGACCATTACAGGACCACAGGAATATACTAGTTTTGCCCAAACAGCTACAAATAGGGAAGCACAAAAGTTTCTTTCTTGGATACATCAGCTGGTGTAATGTGACCTACGTCTAATTCTTCCCTGATCTGTCCTTCCTGTCTTCACACCTGCTCCATCCGCCTCACGTCTCCCCTAACTTCTCTCTGTCTTTCTTTGGCTTTGCGTAGGTGTTGGGAGTCCCTACCGAGGACACCTGGCCTGGAGTTTCCAAACTACCTAACTACAATCCAGGTAACATTTGATTTGAGCTTTGGAGTGCTCTGAGAATTAGCAGTGTGAGAGATTTAGGTACACAGTGCGTTCTATTGTTGTTAACTCAACAGGGAAGATAGGTCTAGACAAATTTTTAGGTTCTTGAATTCCCTGACTAATCCTTTTACGAGGAGGACACTGAAGTAGTAGTTAAGATTAGATTAGTTCTCAAGCTCTGTAAACCACAAGTAGCAAACTGAATGAGCATTTGAAATGACTGTTACTGTGGATTCCACATCCATTTCCAAATACACAAGTGCCAAAGGAAGCAACTACAAAGATAGTGTCACTTTTGAGCCCAGGGCTGTCATGGATTTCTATGCTTCTACAACAGAGGGGAGGTAGAAACTCATTCGGCTCATTAGGCCTTGGGCAGGAGAGCTAAGATGTGTCTAGATTGTACAAGAGTTCACCACTGGGTCATTTTCTGTCACGTATTTGGTCCTCCAAGACTAGCTCCTAGGGTGGATATGGAAGTGTTAGAAGTGTTGTCCACGGGGAAGGTCTGTGAGGAATGGTCCCAAGGCAGAGGGGACAGTTTAACCAGTTGTCACATCAAAGATGTAGAGACAGAAGGGCGGAGCCAAGCAGTGAGCTATAGGATGGAGGGATGTATCCGATGTTGGAGAAGCAAGAATGGCCACAGGAGAACTGGACTCCTGCTGCCAGGATGGAAGGAGAGGTAGATATACACAGAGAAGGACAGGTTAGGGTGAATGTGGCCCAAGTCACCTTTTCTAGTCTTCATAGTCGTACGGTGCCCCATGACTAAAAACGGATTTTTTTTTCAAACTGTTGTCACTGTGGCCATTGGTATGAGCTTATCCTGCAAGGGCTTCTTGAGAGCAAGACGCTGGAGAGGGATGGAAAAGGTGGCTAAAGAGAAAAACAGTGGACAATGGAGGCTAGGGATGGTTTTCTTTCTTTCTGCAGCATCTACTATTTTTGCTCAAACAGCTCCCAATGGGGATCAGAGATCTTGAACTAACTAGGATTACGGAAACCTTATAGCAAGCGAAAGACAAACCATAAAGTCATTTCAGCTTTGTGTGAATGGCCGTAGGCATTGCTAAATGGCTTTAGGGTCACTCACACATGGGTTACCATTTCTAACCATTTTGCTAGTTTGGCACCTGAGAAAAATGCTGCTGTCTGGCCACAGGGCCTTGCCTTTGGTCTGAGATAGAGAGAAAAAAGAACAAACTTCTGCGGAGACCAGGACCCAGGCTGCAATAGGTCCTCTCTCTTGTTGCCATGGTTTCTAGGAGAGTCTGGCTTTCGTCTTTTCCGACCCTGCCCATACCTCTCTTCACCCTGCCTATACGCTCTCCTCCAGGTGAAAATGGGACCCCACCCCCACCCCTACCCCCACCCCCAGTTTTCTGCAATGGGTGCAAGCAGAAGTTTAGGGTCACAGATGGGTTGTAGAAAACAATTTGGATAATGTTGATACAAAGCTGCCACAGTGAGCATGTGATGTTTCCCCAAACTTCAAACATTTGGGTTTCAGGTTGGTTCAGGCAATAAACAGTTTCTCAGTACAGAAGGCCTTGTTGAGAACAACAATGATAGGAACTTGGCCAAATGCTCCACTGCCAGATTCTGGACTAAATAAGGTAACTGGGGTTCCAATAAAACAGTGAGAAATAGGTGACATCTTTCATTTTGCTGTCGTTTCAAAGTCATGTGCAATTTTTTTATTTCTGGAGAGAAATCTCCAGATTCAGCATCAATGGGGTTCAGACTTTGCATTGTTTTTCTAGGAAGCATTCAGTGTAATTCAAAGGAGCCCAATCATTTTAAGCACCTGCTCTCTGCTGTGCTGGGTGCTGGGTCTGTTCTTGGCTGTTTAAGAGCTTGGGTTTGTATTTACTCGTCCACACCCTTTCCCCAGCTCTCCTTCTGAGGGGCAGGGTGCTCATCTGTGAGCCCTGTGTCCATGGGCTTGAGCAGTGAGTGGCTGTGGGCAGAGCTTGTGGAAGGACAAGAGTTATAGCCTCTGCCACAGCCAAGATGTAAACCCCTATCTGTACATCTTAACAGTCCAGCTTCTCTTGGGTCTGGGATCAGTACCATCAATGACTCAATCATAAGGACTATGTTTTAAAGGGGTTGTCCACCTCTGTGTTCCAGGAACACCCCCTCTGTGAATCGACAAGTCTCTCTGAACCCCCTTCCCTAGCAACCCCACCCCCCTCTGAGCTGCTGTTGCTGCTTCATGCCCTTGTACTCCAATGACTAAGGGACCAGAAGAGGGGATGAGAGCCAGAAAAATGTCACCGAGCAGAAGTGTGGACACCATTCTGGATGAGCTTTCCATTGTTTTCCTTTCTGTTCTAAGTTGAAGTAAGGACCCCAAACTTTGAACTCAGCTGGCACCGCAATTTTGAGGGAGCCAAAGAGCTCAGAACTTGGCGAATCCTCCAGTTTCCATCTGCGCCCACTCTGCCATTTCCCGGCCATGTCTGGACTGTGTCTAGGAAGACAACACAGTCCCTCTGTGTGTAGGTTAACACAAACAAAACCCGGCCCACTGGCGGATCTGTCTGAGCAGTTACCTGTCTTCTAGGGACACTGGTGAGCAGGGTTGCAGGTATTCTAGCCCTCAATTCAGACTGTTGTGCCTGATTAAATCGGGGTAATGGAAGAGGTGCATAATTTTAGAGACTGGGCTCTCTCTCTCTCTTTCTCTCTCTCTCTTCCTTACTTCCTTCTTTTTTCCCTTTCCTTTCCTTCCTTCTTTGCTTCCTCCCTCCCTCTTTCTCTCTCTCTCTCTTCCTTCCTTCTTTTTTCCCTTTCCTTTCCTTTCTTCTTTCCTCCCTCCCTTCCTTCCTTCCTCCCTTTCTCCCTTCCTTCCTTCCTTCCTTCCTTCCTTCCTTCCTTCCTTCCTTCCTTCCTCCTTCCTTCCGTCCCTCCCCCATTGTAAGCAAGCCGGCTGAGAACTCTGTGTCCTCTACTTCAAAGGGCCAGTTGTCTTATTTTGATGTGGGCAGATTAAGAAGTAGCCTTTGAAAAGTAGGCTTTCTTTCTTTTCTTTTTTTTCTTTTTTGTTTAATCTTTTCTCCTGGGATAGCTTTCAGAGCAATATATCCAAGTGTCAGTGAGGGGGTTCTGACGAGCGTGGATTCCCAGACTCTCAGCAGGATCATTCTCTAACAGAAATATAAAAGTGAAATATTAAAAACCCTGGAACGTGAACTCCATCCGCAGAGTAGCCAGTGTCTCGCCTGCTCGCACCCTGGGAAAAAAAGATCTCCTTGAAAAAAGAGGGAGGAGAAAAAAAGTGCTTTGAGGACGAGGTTTACAGGTTTAGTAGAGCATAGTAACATCCCCTCAAAGAAGTGGGTGTTGCTCTGTGACCCCCCAAAATGCTCCTCCTTTGACTCAGCCGCCAGAACACTCACCCTCCCCTGGCAACACACCCCCTTTTCACATGCTAACCGAGGCGCCTGTGATTGGCTGAACAATGAGCTGGTCACACTTGCTAAAGGCCTGCCATCCCTCACACAATTAGCCAAGACACATTAATCAAACTGGCGGGAGCTGGGGCTGTGCTGGCCTCCTGCAGTGGGGGAAGGGGGCAGTTTTGTGATCCTTAATAAGAGTCCGCAGGAAGCAATGATAAAGGACAGCATGCTAGAGGGGATTCTCTCAGAAAGTCTAAAAAGGGGAAAACCCCAACTGATGCCGTAACTGTGAAACGCTGGGTTTGTGGCACAGAAGACCCCAGAAGCTTAGAGCAAACTGGATATTGGTCTTGGCTAACATCTGCTAATGCACGACAGTAGTGTGAATGGAAAGGGTGGGCCCCTGTGGACGTTTCTACAAAGTTCCCTTTCCCCCTGCCCCAAGAAAAAAAAATTCAGGGGTCCCTTCCCTTTTGAGCCTCAAGTACTTTAGGCCCCCCAACTGGAACCAATAGGAGTAAAGCATAGATAAAAAGTAGAGAACTATTTAGAATCAATAAGAGACGGTATTAACTGATAAGGAGTTTGGTTCTAAATGAAGTATTTGGAAGCCATTAAAAATAGTTAATTTTGAGATTAAAAAATAAGTTAACATTTGTGCTTTAAAAAAAAAATCTTACCTGAGGATATGTATATTGATGGGGGAGAGAGAGAGAGAGAGAGAGAGAGAGAGAGAGGTGAGAGAGAAACAGTGACTCCAGTATGTGCTCTGACCAGAATCCAACCTGCAGCCTCCGGTATGACGCTCCAACCAGCTAAGCTGTACCAGCCAGGGCCACATTCTTGTGTTTCATCTTCTGGCTTTTCTTTTCCAAATTTCCTCTACATAGATTTTTCCAATGGCAATCTAGAGCTCATAAGATCGTACCTTAGAGACGGGTTGGCCACGGAATTGTGTAAGGCTTTTAAAAAGACTCAACTAAATATTTAGACATTTCTCAGCTAAAGTAAACAGAGGCCTCACTCTCCTGGAGGTTGCCAGTCGCCATCTCATTAGATGCAGAGATCCTGTGATAAAGAGAAACTTTTTTCCTGCCACATGATTGCAGCCCAGTTGTGGTTTTTAATGTGTCATTGATTGTTTCATCCAGCTTCTTTTGCTCCACTCAAAGGGTCTGCCGTGGCTCTGTTTGCTTCCTTAAACACGGTTTCTGAAAGCACTCATGCTGTGTGAGCGCAAATCCTAGCATTAATGTACTGCTGGGTTCATTTCACCACGCTCAAAAGCGCCGAGTTTAAATCCCTCTCAATTCCATTTGGGGCACCAGAAGACTTTATCCTTCTTCACTAATGGTTCCAAGTTTACATCTAGATCCTGGGGTCAAGGACAGGAGAGGATTTAGAAATAACAGTGCATGACATTAGGCGATGCATTTGCCAAATTGGCAATTAGTTCCTGATGTGCGTGCAAAGCATCTCATTCCTGTCTCTTTGATGCTCGTTCCCATTGAGAAGGGAATGGAGTCCGCAGAGGCCTTCAGACGTTTAAAGGAATATCTGCTGAAAATCATG